ACAAACCAGGCAAGTGACTCTCATTTGAAATGCCTGAGTCCACTGGGAGACCAGCTGCCCCGTGGGAGGTTCCTAGGATCTGCCTTCAAAAGAAAACCCTCCACTTATTCATTATGCTGGCTGACCACAGGGGAGGCCAAGAAAGAGATCATTCAATCCAACCTTCCAGACAGAACACCATCCCTGGCTTTTGTGATAAAACACCCAAACCAATTTAGGATGAGGTTTTCATTACGAAGGAATGTCAAAAAAATTCAGGAAGCCTGTGTGCTTTGGGTTTATTATTATTATTACTATTATTTTTAATTCCTGGAAACTGCCACACAACATTTACCAACTTAGATATAATCTCTACTAAGTAAAAATCCCAATTAGACCAAAGGTGACGGTAAACTGTTATTATCAGCGGGTTAATCAACAAAAGGAGTATGGAATCTCAGGCCAAGTTCCTTCATTTTCCCTAGCCAGTTCCAAAAACTTGCCTTTCTCCCTGACACAGAGTATGGGTACGTGCAGGTCTCAACAGGAATGAAATCAAAATAGAAAACAGCCTTGTCTCTCTCTTCACTCAAGAGAAAGAACCACACCAGGAGCAAAAATCTTGACAAAGCTGCCTTGCTATGATTATCCCTCTAGTTCAGCAGTTAACCTGAACTTTGTCAATCATGATCTTCCCGAGAACTAAGTCTCAAGCTTTTCAGAAATATTAATCACTTAAACACAAGCTTGAGGTAATAAAAATCACTCGAGGAAAAAAAAAAAATGAACATGCATGTCTACTTATTAGTTGCCAGATGACCCATTAAGACACATGTACCTAGGGGAGGCAAGGACTAATTAAGTTACACTTTCCCTGCTGAAGTAGAAACTCTGAACCTTTCAAAACCCTCAACCTGGATGCATTTCAAAAATCAGCATTTGAAATCGCAATTTTCTGTCCCAGAAAGTCTGTTTCACTAAAGGGCATATGTAAGCAGCATTATTTCCTGGCAGCCAGGCTTGTAATGACATCACAGGATTGTTCCGCTCAGGGAAACGTCTAGCGCTGGTAAGGTGTGAGGTCATCAGCTAGTCAGCTGCTAAAATATGACCTGAGAATGCCCTTCACATCTGTGAGGGAAGAACCTGACTTAAAAGGCAAGAGAAAAGTCAGGTCAATCAAACCAGCCCATTGCACAGATTTTCAAAGCATGTGCAACAGGATGTGAATGAATGCTGTATTTTAAAGAGGGTCTTATGGTCAGTAAGTTTGGAAAACCCTGGGAAAGGCCAAAATTAAACAGATGTTTTACCACTGAACACTGCAGGGTTGTAGTATGCTGACTGACGGACACTTTAAGTTTGAGAAAAGGGTCCTAGGAGGAGGTATTTTTCAAATTCATTTCAAAATACAACTCCTCCTTGGCACAGAATTATTCTGGACTGGGGTTCCAAAGGGATATACTTTGGGAAACACCAGCTTATTCTCTTAAAGCACAGACCAGACCTGAGCATTACCGCTTGTCATGAGACCCATAAAAGATGTACAGGAGGACTGTAATTTCACAGAATACTCCCTCAACATCCAGGCTAGTCCTTGCCTCCCAAAGTGGTCTACCCGGAAAGGCGGGTCTGAGACACGATGCGACACGGCCCATGACGTCAGAGAACAGAACATAGAACTTTCAAAATCGAGCCACTCAATCTGCTTGCGTGAGCGAGGAAATCTCTACAGGGGAGCCCACTTTTGAGCTGAGCCGGGTCTTGTACGATGGTGTGAGAGTTAAAGTCAACCCTGAATACTGTGAAACATCCCTGTAAAAAAATCAGATCAGACGTACTTCCACGGCCAAACTTCAACAATCTTGCCTTAATTTTGGGCTTATTTTTGCCCTTGTTTTTGCCTGCCATGCTTTTTGTACTCCGTACAAAATTTAAGAACACTACCAGGCAGATAAGCGTGCCTTCTTATAGCTAACCACCAAATCAGATAAACAAAAATCTAGCATACCAGCAGAGAAAATGACCTGCAATATATTTTTCAAGCCATCGGCTACAGAACTAACATCTACCAACCCAAAAAGAAAAAAAAAAAAACTTCAGACAAGCCCAGAAATGTGACTGTCAGCAGAAGATCACTGGAGCATCATTTGTTAACTTCACCGAAGAGGAACTTTCAAACACCCCCCAGTGGCATTTCCAGACAATCAGAAGGCACCAGAGGAATCAATCTGGACACATGGGTGTTTTCCAGGTGGCTGAAAATGCATGGAATTCGGTGCTTCTATAATTTTCCCTATTAATCAGGTCAGGCATTTGACACTGGAGGTGGCAAAAAATTGTTTTAATGGCAACATCCCCTTCCCCGCCTTGCCAATTACCCTGGCCATGGCATTCCTCTGTCCACACAGGCCACAGCTGCTTAATCTCCACTGCCCCAGGCTGCACCTGTGAATCAGACCAGCCTAATCACACTAACAGATGGCAGAGGCCAAGTAGCCAGCTAAGAACTGCTATCACTTTAAATCGCATCTAATGTTTCACAGGCACCAAACAGAGGCAGTTCCCGACAGCAGTATCTCCCTGGTACAGCTAACACCAGCCCTTAATCACTGCAGAGCACCCATCGTGGGGCAGACTTGGTGTCATTCGAGAGCTAATCACAAAGAACCCTGGTCCCAGGGTGAAGGTATGGCATTCATTAAATGCGCTCCACTCCCTGGCCCGTCCGCACAGGCACTGGGAAGAGGGACTAGTGTTCAGGAGGAAAACCTGGAGGTCCGTGGCAGGTAGTCCTTCCCAATCGCCAGAAAGAGGTTCAGTTCACTCGGTCTACTTGTTACATAACCTATACCTTGCTGTTACATTGTACTGCTTCCCAAGTATTCCTGGCAACATGCTATGAGACTTGGTTCAGCAGGACAATGAAGCTTGCAGACATGTCAACACAACCCAGCTGCCGCCGGAGTCTGAGATCCCACGTGGGGGCACCACTTGAGGGCTGTAAACAACACTGCACCCCCTTCGTCACCCTGGGGACTGGGAGAGGGGCGCTGTGATTCAACATGCAACAGGCCTACAAGTGAATGGCAGTTTTGCCTTTTGCTCACTGAATCATGAATTTCCGATCAATAACACAGGAATAATACCTTTCTCTACCTTATGGGGCTTGGGGGGGGGGGGGCAGGCATTGCCTGAGCCAGCAACCAGCACGGAGCTTGCCCAAAGCAGGCCCTCCAAAGCACGGTCTTTTATTGCCTCCTCTGCTAGAGCCAAAGAACTAATAATAGGGAATGAGTGATGTCTTCTGATGTACCAGGGTTTTGTTATTAAATAGTAATAACAACTTTGTTAGAAGGTTGGTACGAATCACAGAAGACAGTTTCACTCACCCACTGTTTTATAAATAAGAGCTCTTGGGGCGCCTGGGTGGCTCAGTTGGTTAAGCGACTGCCTTCGGCTCAGGTCATGATCCTGGAGTCCCTGGATCGAGTCCCGCATCGGGCTCCCTGCTCGGCAGGGCGTCTGCTTCTCCCTCTGACCCTCCCCCCTCTCATGCTCTCTCTCATTCTCTCTCTCAAATAAATACATAAAATCTTTAAAAAAAAAAAAAAAAGAGCTCTTAACAGCAAACCCCTGCTCAAGGCACATCAACATGTGTGAATCCCTAAGTCAGAGCTTCTCATTCTTCACTATACAGGAGAATCACTCCCGGGGTTTCTAATTCAGTGCCTCTGAGGTGGGGCCTTGGCATTTTCATTTCTAGTAAGTTCTTAGAGCTGATGCTGATGCTAGTGATCCAGGCCCTAAGTTTTCTCTTGCCATAACAGTGAAAACTATAGACCAAAACATTTCCCTTCTTGCCCAAGCTGCTAGGAGACTCAGGGACAAATGCATTTCCCCACTTAACACATTGTCCCAGGTCCCTAACAGCACTGATTTTCTCGTCTTCCCTTAAAGAGCCCTGGGCCTCTTTTAAGAACTAATTGTCTTATTATTTAGGCCTTGATTAAATTTATTAAACTGACGAAAATCCTTTTGAAAACACGTAAAATATAACACCTGAACAAAGAATGCCAGTGACCAGTCTAAAATCAGTTTGGGAACACACAAGCCATGTTATCGGAAAGACGGAAGGCTCTATTTTATCTTCTTTCTTGAACAAACACACACACTCTTCTGAGTGCTGTGCAAATACAAACTCATCTAATCCTCGTTAACAACCCCAATGGACACTGTTAACTATTCCCGTTTTATAGCTGAAGAAACTGAGGCGCAGAAGTTAAATTACTTGCCCAAGTGACGGAGGCAGAGAGGCCACGTGCTTCTACACCAAGGCTGCCCATGTGTCACTGCTCAGCGTTAACTGCCTTTTCAAAGCCAGCGGCACCTGCTGGTCCCCTTCCCTATCGCTGCCTGCAAAGTAAGGCACACCGCGGTGTTTAAAACGGCCCCGGTTTCTCAACCTCAGCACTTCTGACATCTTGGACCAGATCCTTCTTTGTTATGGGCTGTCCTGTACATTGCAGGATGTTTATTAGCAGCACCCCGGTTCCTCCCACTGGATGCTATTGGGGCATCCCTCCTGCCCCTGTTGAGACAACCAAACATTGCCCAACGTCCCCCAGGGGAGGGAGAAGGAGGAGAATCCCCCCCCCAGCGGAGAACCCCCGAGTTAAGCCCCACACTGTCAAAGCAAACCAGAAGACGGTATGCGCTTCGACTCGGGTGACGCCTCGGAACCATGAGAAGCCAAAGAGAAAAAGAAAATCAAAGAAAGGAAAATCGTGACCGCTTCCCAGAGTGGCTTCCGACACAGTAAGAAAGGAAGACAGTCGAAAACGGTGTACAGAAGCACTGGTTTATTCTCAGATTAGAAAGTCAGGAGAGTAGACACAGCGGAGAAAGGCAAGGGTTGTAGGGCACGCTATCCCGAAGAGCGGACGAGATGACAGGTTAGAGTCCGGACTTCCCACCAGGCTCTGCTCGCTCGGGAACCTTCCGAGGTGGCCACTACTTACTCTTGTTGTTACTGTTCTCACTGACAAAATCCTCGGAACCATCTGTGTCGTCCTCGTCATCTCCGGATGAGATGGCATCTGTATTCAAAAGAATATAGCCATGGTTGTGTTTGTGCAAAGCAAAAGGCTGTAATCACGTACAACTCAGCCCTTCCGGAGAGGGCCTTCCACAACCCGGGAGGAGCCCACGCAAAAAGTCCGAGACCGTGTTTAGCAAAGATGGTTTTAATGGCTTAAATTTTCTCTCCATGATGACAGTTGGTCTGTATTATGATTTGCAAAGCTTTCCGCTTTCACGTTATTTAAACATGCTGTCAAGTAGGATATATCAAAACTGGATTTTAAGCTTCAAACAGCATTCAAGTCCCCAACAGATTTACTGATTGTGTTGTGATCCATCCAAAGATTCTTTCCAACACCACCTTTCAGTTCTCAGGATTCCCTTCAAGAAGGGAATTCGTCCCTAGCCAAACTTAACCCCTGTGTGGCCTTCCATCCGTTTACTAACTTCTGAAAGCGAACCTTTAAACTTGGCCACAAAGGGGGTCCGTGCAGCTCCCCCTAACTGCATGGAAGAAAAATAAAGGAGAGAAACTCACATTTTAATAAAAGGAATCCAAAATCTTCCACATCAAATTTCAATACTGGATTCTAAATGCCAAGGATGCTGGCAGTATGGGTGGCGGAGGGAAGGGGGCTGTTTTTACTTCTATAAAAGCGGACTGTCTTAAGAAGAAAATGTTACTTTGCACATGAGAATCCTGTCATTTTTAACGACCAGCCTCTCTGGTTGAGCTGGTCCCGTGGAAGAACTTCAAAAACAGATCAACAAACTATCCAATTAGCAGCTCCCACTATGATTTCCCTTGTCCAATACAATTTGACCCAGAAAACGGCTACAGAGGGGAGAGCGCGGAGGGCTCGCAGGCCAACTCACCTGTGACATTCACCATGAAGTAGACAGCCTCGCTGTCTACCGGCCTAGCCGCCGTGCAAGCATAGAGGCCGGAGTCTCTAGGCGTGGCACCTTTTATCTGCAAGTATTCCCCAATAAGCACTGTCCTATTGTTGGGCCCCAAGTGTACCCCATCCTTAGTCCAAATGATCGTGGCGGCATCTCTCAATGGACAGCACAACTCTAGCGACTCCCCGGGTGCAGCCACGTAAACTTCAGGTTGGGAGATTTGGTATTTGGTTGGCGGCTCTGCAGAAAGGTAGGAGAGAGAAGATGGAGACAGATGGGAAGGAGGAAAAGGAGAGAACGTCCAACAAAGGTCAGTGGCGGCCCGTTCATTCCCGGGAGAGGCCGTTGTTGGTTTGCAAATGGCCCCAGCGGGCGTTCACCTCTGCCCGCGCCCGGGAACCCAGGAAGCAGCCTCGTGCACAGAGCAGACTAAGTGTCCGAAACGTGGACCAGAGGAAGCGCCCAGTGGAAGCTGCCCTGCTGAATCTGCGCGAGCTGGGGGGCTGTAAACACACCGCCGAAACCCAGCATGGAACGATATTGTACAAGAAAACTTTTCAGTCGATTGCCAATCCAGAGTCTGCTTGCAACTGTCACACCCCAGCAATTCTATTCTTGTGGCATTTTTTTTTTTTGTAGGGACGTGTGTTTTATCATTTTTTTCATCCGATGCGACTGCATGGCTGTGTGTCTACACCTACACACACACACACACCTATTTATTTTTGTTAGACTTTGTTGTCACAAAGCCAAGCTTCTTAAAATGAAATGCCTCAAACTCAAGGGAAACTAATGAGTCCTTCTACAGAGCTGTAAGGCTCAGATCACTTTGCCGGCCTGGAGACCTAATTCTGTGCTGGGCAAGCTGGAACACCCTGTTTTTCTTCATACCAAAAAGAATGAAATGCCCCCAGACAGCCGAGAGGTGGTCTCCATATTGCACTGAAATGGATCTGGAAATGAAGCTGCTGAGCAAGCCGCTGAGCAAGGGTGTACCTTACCCTCTGACACAGTCACAGCCGGGTCCCTCCCTGCCCGCCAGCCCCCACCAGTCCTGGGTTCCAGCCCCCTCAGACCTGTAACTCTATGTCCTTTTAGAGGTATGCCTTCCTCCCTCACCTCCCCATTTACCCAATTCATCCTTCAAGGTCCAACTCATCCTGCTAGATGTGGGCTTGCCATCCATCCCCCAGGCCTGGGGTGACATGGATCTCCCCTCCTTGTCCACCTGCCCACTTCGCCCGCTTCTCGGGAAGCACCACGGATCCCATGGCCATGTCCTGTCTCCCAGGGAGACAGTAAGATCTAGACGGAGGGCTCAGGTCCCCTTGGGCGTCCCGCCCCGCCCCCAAGCATACACATGGAAGGGCCCCGTGCCAAACAGGATGGCAGTCCCCGGACATGCAGGGCAAGAGGGGACCCATGCAACGTGTGCAAGCAGAGGTGAGAGGGAGCCACAGGACTATAAGGAGAGCAGCCGGAGCTGCTGGCTGGGACCCACAAGGACCCATGAATGGGCTTTCATCCCTCACAATGGGAACTGTGAATGGTACCCAGAGTCCCAGACCCAAGAAACATCAAGCTTCCCAGCTCTGGGATGACTCCAAATCTGGGCAGCATCACAAGGCAATTGTTTTGCCCTTTTGAGGGTAGTCTGGACAAATCTCCCATGTAACAATGGAATAAGGTCACTTGGTGCCTTAGTCCCACGGTTGAAGGAACAGGGAGGACCGTGTGCCTCTGGTTCTAGAAATCCTCCACAGCACCATCATCAACGGCCAACATGGGAGGGCCAGGACTCCCCAAAGGGGCACCTTCAAAGGCACACATGCCAAGATGGGCCCAGATGCTGAAGAGGACGTGGTCATAAAGAGATAACCACAACAACAAATAAGAAAAAAGTCAAATTTAACATGACAAACGTACCCGGGAACAAGGGCAGAAAACCCCAACTCAAAGACAGGTTACATTTCCCAAATAAGTTTGTTTTTCTCATTCAACACCTACTGAACACCTACTATGGGCCTCGCTTTACTCTGGATGCTCAGGAAGCAACAGGTCACCATGAAATCCTTGCAACACCGGTGGGACTTTAATTATAGCGAAGGTGACCGACAATAAATAAAAAATCAGCCCAAAAATACAAAGTACGGGAGGTGGTCTTAGGTGTCAGGAAGCCAAACACAGCAAGACGGCAGCACCAGCACAGACTATGGGGGAGGACTCGTTCTAGAGGGGACCTGGGAAACTATGGCCCCCAGGCCAAACCCAGCCTTCGCCCGTGTTTGTAAACAGAGTTTTGCTGGCTCGCAGCCACACTCGTTCCTTAAGTATGGTCTGGGGCCACGGAGCTGACTAGTTGTAACAGATGCCCTATGTCCTGCAAAGTCTTGCCCTTTACAAAACGTTTGCCAACCCCCGCTGAATGGGCTGTTGAGGGGAGGTTTCTCTAGGGGGTGAAGGGCACAGTGATGTTTGAAAGATGGTGCTGGGAACTTAGCTGGAAGGCCCTCAGGCCACTTCCTGAGGTTGTTCAGGTCCTAATGCAACTGAATTGCAGGACTAATAGAAAGATCCTGAACTCTGAAGCCTGGGCACAAAAGGGAAAGGAGGAAAGATGTGGGCAAGAGGGGGAGGAAGAAGAGGAGAAAAAGGAATTCAGTTTGGCCCCAAATCTCAGACCTTGCCCCACTTCCAGAGGCCTGGAGTCACCTCAGTACTCATGGTGCCCCAAAGGACACCTGGCCCAACCCCTTTCACAGCTGGTTAAAGCAAGGATCAGATGCCATTTGGGTCCCCTACAACTGACAAGTAATCACTGAAACAGCACCCATAATGTTAGAATGAGTTTACACTGGATTGGCCCAGATCATAAAATAGTCAATATTTATGAGGCCCACGTGGCATCATCATCATGTCACCAAGAATACTACAAAATTGGCTTTCCTCTGAGTCAGAGTCGGTCATCAAGAGATGACCGAGGAGGAGTAGCTGGACCCAAACCACAATACTCCCCTCTCTCTTTAGGAGAGACTGGGACCCATGCAGCCAGTCTGCTTCTACCGTGGCCCTCAGATCAGGAGAACCACGTCCCTGCTTCATGCAGGCAGTGGGACACGCTCACACTGCTTTAAAAAATAATAATAATAAGCAAGATACTTGCACTTATGATGCAGAAAAATCTCTCCCCTGACCAAGGCAGAGCCATGATTTCCCTGTTTTTAAAAGAATGCATGTTCACTGAGAAACCTTTGCCTCACCTGAAATAGGTAAACCACTAAGTCTCGCTGAAACCAGACGTGCCCGGACCCATTTCACCAAAGACACCACCACCTGCCAGTTGTAGGAGGAGGAACAGGGCACAATGAGGCCTCAAGGTCAGGGACCGCGTCCTGTTTGGGGCTGGACACACAGGAACTGCTTGGTAAATGGCTGCCATCCTGCATGAGAAGAGGATGGAGCCCTGAGGCCCAATTCCACTCCGTTCCTGCTTGATCTCTCCACCCCCAGCCCCTCATCCCCTGAAGAACAAGAAGGCCCAAATAACACGGTGTCCCTTGCGAGGACCCAATGAGCCAACCAAAAGGAAGCCCATCATCCCACCCCTAGCTTGTTGGGCCCACGACAGTCACTACCGCTGTCGTTCTTCAAGGCTGAAAACGCTCACGGGGACTTGAGCACCACCCTTTCCAGAGGACACTCAGAGAAAACCTGGACTGGTGGATCTCCACAGAACGCAGGACAGTTTTAATGACGGGCTCCCAACTCGGTGTAAGATGACTTCTACTACAAGCGGGTTTTTATTTCTAGTAAAACCAGGTTAAAACTATCACCCAATTTTCCAGTTAGATGATAAGCTTCAAGGACAGTAAAATAACTCCCCCAAATACATCAATAAGGATGTTCATCCATAAGACGAAGCCACCTGACTCCAAGTCTGAACCCGTAAGTACAGCATGGGCAATTCAGAAAGCACGAGCTCCTCCCTCACCTGAGCGACCCATTCACAGAAAGCTCACGGGGGCTGTGTGAAGCCCAGGAAGACCGGGGTGCACGCCAGGAGGAGCACCCTCAGGGAGGGCAGCTCAGGGAGAAGGGCAAACAGGCGAATAAAAAGAAGGGGAGGGCGGAAGAGAAGAAGGACGGTGGTGGGGGGAGGGGGAATGAGTGGGGGTAAGTGGGGGGAGGGGAGGGACGCCACACCGGTCCACTGCCACACCACCCGGCAGCACCCCAACCCAGCTTGTGGGTTCCGGCATCAGACACCTCGGGACAACGTGCAAGGACATGGGCGCTTTGCCTGGAACCCCAACAGCTGGCTCCGTGGAGGCCACTCCAGGCTTGGGTTTCTCTTCTGCACCCGACTCCCTGCAAACACGCTCCCCGAGTGCTCTGTCCACATCTGCACAGGTATGTCCCTCACACATCTGCACAGGTATGTCCCTCACACTGCTCTGTGCGGAGCCCAGAAGATCCGCCAAGTCCTCTGACACCAGCAACGATGCGTCTGCGATGGCCCCGCAGCCTCCCTGAGGTCGGTCTGCCTCCACGGACACGGCCGGTGCCCCCCACCCCAACCTGACTCCAACAAGCTGCTCGGCCCGCTCTCTAACACACAACGGTTGACACGGGGCAAAGTATTCCCCGGGAGATTTAAACAATACCTTTTATAGTCATATGACCATTTCCTGCGTTTCTCTTTTTCCTGGTGCTACAGCTTACTTTTAACCTTTCTTGTGCAGAGCGAGGCCGAAATCCACGTGTCCCTCATCTGATCTCGCCAAAACACAACCGGGGGAAGCTTCCAGAAGCCACTCTTCTCCACACCAAATACTCAGGGACGTCCGCAGATGGACACCGAATGTGCCCACCTAGCGCTCATAATGTAAGTTCACAAAGAGGTGAGAAGGCTAGACAGACGCACACTACCGTTGGACAGTGTCGCCGTGACCCGAAACGGCTAAGCGGGCCAGCAGGTGAGGTGACGGCCGGGGAGGGCTCTCTGTGCCGGTTTCTACGCGCCGCACGCACACGGTGGGCGCGCGGATTTCAACTCTCTCCCCAGAAGTTCCAAACCCTGAGAAGTGCCAGCGGCAGGAGGTCTCACTGCTTCTTCTCTCTAAAGTGACTCCTGGGAGGTTAGGAAATGAAAGAGTGGGCACGCAGGCGGGGTCCCCCGCATGCAGCCTGCGCGATCCCCGCCGTGGGCCACCCTCCCCTCCCCTAAGGAAGGCCTCGTG